GAGATATTCATTGCCTTTGTCTGCCGTGGTTCACCGGAATTACATTTGGTTGCATTAGAAATGTGAACCATCAATATTGGTTTGATAATATATAATAAGCAGTTGAATTTATATGTTTGTTCACTGATATGTGCTCAGGAAAGATACCGTTTCGTAGTGATTGTTTTGATTCGTTTAGTCTAAATTCATCTATTCAATTGTTGTTTACTCATTTAATGAATTCATTTGTTCAGTTGTTTATCGATCATTTATTCGAACGTTCACTGTTTAATTGGTGATTATTTATAATTTAAGGTTGATGCACAACGTGCGTTATTGCTTGCAACTGAACGTCGTAGATCGCTGATTTTTGAGTTGGATCGAATCAAACAAGCACGAGCCGATGGAATGCGCACAAACCAGCCATCGGGTCCGAAAGGAACGCTGACAATATCGAACATTAATATCAAGCTAATGCGTGATTTCATAAATGGACACATAAACTTTCACAACGGTTCGTTGCATTTGTTTTTCTTCTTTAGAAGTTATTCGTTTTCTTTAATTTATCAAGTTTTTGCCATATTGGAGTGCTGATTTCTGAGCATTTTTTGATGGAAAATGGATGTGCTTGCAAGTGAGAGTTGAGATGGAATTTTGTTCGGAGTGAAATGATACCATACAATGAAAGAGGAATTGCAGATCAACTTCTATTTTACTTCATCGTTCTGATTCGTTACGGTGAATGCGTTATGCACACAACAATGATCACCAGTGACGAAGGTCTCAAAAGTGGCAAACTCGAATTTCCGCATTACATTCAACTTAAATCACTACCGCACGATTTCACTTGCTCATTGGAAATCTACGCTCTGGTCAGTTGATCTGTATATCATATGTACTCTTGAAGTGAATGTTTTGTAAGTTTTCATTGCAGAACTTTGAATTTTGACAGAATTTATGAATGTTTGGCAAAATTGTTTTATGAAAACGTCAAGTGTTATGAATCTCTTGGAAGTGTTTGTGTTTTTTGGAATGAATAATCGTTTTGACGAATTGAGTTAAGTGAAGGATTGGTTTTTTGTTCTGTGGAATAACGTTTCCATGAAATATATATTCTGTTATTGATGACTTGTTTAATAGAGATTTTTTCTAAGAGCAATTTTTATTTCAGCGCACTCATCGAGAAGTGATAAAACATCACGAAAAATATCGTCTCAAAGGAGCAACTTTGAAGCGAGGCACAAAATCGCCATTGCTGAATGCTGGTATGCAAATTTTTTGTAA